AAAACAAGAAATAAAGTACTTACCCAATCTTCTTTTTTTCTTGCTCTTGGGTTTTTGAAGAGAGTTAACCCTAAATTGTTATACTATCAATAGTAATGAACTTAATAATTTTTATTTAATAAAATAATGCACCAAAGAATATAGACTAATAACATGCAAAAAGTAGACAAATTCACTTACCTCTCAAAATTTTCCTGGCTTTCTAATTATGCAACAAGAGCTGTTACAAATTCATCCAAGCTAGTCATTAACTTTCCAACAGGAACGTTGCTCGTACTTTGAATGAAATTGACATTTAACGGTTCAGAACATAATGTTATACAGTACGTCATTTGATAGATGACTTTCTATTGGTTATAGATAACATATAATGAAATGTAAGAGAGAACTATCAAGGAATTGTGAAAGAGAGGATGTGACAGGTGGGTGTGGCAGGAGAGGTCTGATTTTCTATTTGATAGATCTGTAACCAAACAAAATTGAAGGTTATAAAAATTATGGTTTGTTTGAGCAATAACGATTTTATACCAAGTATTTTATGTTTAATTTCGTGCATTTACGAGGGGTGATGGATAAATAGGGATGATGACATGCTGAGACAAAATGCGTCACATGGGGTCATACTAGTGGAAATTCAGGATTTTTAAAAATATTTCTTTGTAGAATTAAGAACTTAAAACTTGTATACTATTAAAATACAAGGTTTTAGTGTCTTACATTCAAAATTTTATTAAACTACTTTTTGTTTATGTTATACCAATTAGAATAGCATAAAATCTTAGCTAATAATCCATGTCATGCACAGTGAAGGGTACCCGGGCTGATAGGGTTAATTTGTGCTCCATCCCATGCCATCCGTTCTCCATCTTCATGCCTAGCTTTTGTTAGGTCCTTGGCAAGGAGTTCCAGTTTCTCTCGCAGAGTAGCTTCACATTTAGCCTGTTCCATTCACCCTTCTTTTTTTGCCATCTATCAATGCAAGTGGAGCGTTTATTGCTCCTGGGCATTGACTTGGAGTTTCTGGGCTTCTCACCCAATGGTTGCCTGTATCTCCAAGTTTCTCACATGGCTCAATTTCGGGGTTTTGGATGGTGTTATCCTATACCTTCTGTTCTTCCCTTTTCCTCGGGGTTTTTGCTTCCTCTGTCCTTTCCATGCTGATCCATTCCTTCTGGCTTTGTTGACCACTGAGGCATCTATTGTTCCTGGACTGGAGCATTAATGTGGCCAATTATGCCCTCACTTACCTCTGTTTGAAGCTCTGTCTGTGTGTTCTCTGTTTCATCTCTCTTTGAAGGAGTATTTCTTCCTCCTCCTGGCCTGCGAGCATCATAGGTCAGATATTTTTGTTCTCTACGTATCACACCTCTTACCTTATCCTTTATCCGGATCATGCTTTATTTCCTAAGACCTCTGCGTCTTGAGAAGGTCAGTCCTCCTTTTCCCCTATCTGCCTATCCTCTGTATCTCATCTCTACTCTCGTCATGATCTGGACAGACTCCTCTGTCCTGTCCATGCTCTCTGTTGTTATATTGTTTGCATGGATTCCTTCCGAGGTCCTCCTTCCCACCTTTTTATCCCTTAGCAATCTTCCTCTTCCCGTGATCTTTCCCTGGTTACCCTGACCAATTGGTTTTGGCATTTGATTTAGTTGGCCTATTCCTCCTTGTCTTCTTCCCAGTGTGATCACTTTACGTTTCCTCACATCAAATCCGTCACCTTACCTTCTCACTTGCCTCTCGTCTTTGTCGGTCATTGGAGGAGATTCTACGATTGAGCAGGTGGATGACTCTGCAAATGTTCCTCTCCCACTACCTACACCACATCGCTGTTTCTGCTTCCTTGTGGTATTGCCTGCTGCCTGTGGCTATTTTACAGACTTCGGAGCAGCTGTGATATGAGGTAAGTCCTTACTAATGCTTTCTTTTTTTTTAGGGGCCCTTGCTTCAGTCTCACTTTGGATCCCGCTCTCTGGTGGCGAGTGGTGCCTGACCAGGTATTCTGTCTGTACTTGGAATGGGATCCACTTAGATGGCTATAACCATTTGCAGGCATCTTGCTATCAAATCTGCGCTGTCAGCCATGTTGATTTTTATACATTTTCCATGGCTATGTTCACTCATCCTTGATATGGGGTGTTTCACAAGATCACTAGAATGTAAATTCCTCGTGATAATTGTGTCATAATATGCCCGTCACAAACCATACCACCCATGGACAGCATGGGTGTAGCAGAAGGGGATTGCTGCCCATCCTTGCTATGCCTAGATTGTATAAATCGATGTGGTCTGCTTTTAAAAATAGGATTTCGTGATTACCCATTGCATTGTCTCAGGTTTTGCAGTCCCTCTGGACTCTCCACTGTACATTTTCCCCTTTCTTCCAGTGGGGTATGGGAGTCCTTACCACTTACCAGTTCCGAGCTGCTGGGTTGGTTGTCCCTGGAGGCAACCTGCTGGATAGGTTCCACAAAGATGGCTATAACCATTTAGTTCAGAGTAGGGTGGTGGTATTCTGCCAGTGTAGAGGCAGTTACAAGATCCTCTGGATGAGTAACTAATTCCCAGAGTTGAGACACCCAAATGCAGTTCATCCCATTAATTGGGTGCCCTCCTCCTACCCTCATGTGGATGTTTGTACCCAGCGAGTGAGGTTTTAGAGATCAAATAAACCAATCACATATGCCCTCATACAAGTTTCAGGTTGTCCATCTTCCCCTTTTGACTTCTATGTTGTGAGTCCCAGAAGGGCTACTTGGCCTTTTTTCACTTCTGTCCTGGGTTTTCCCTTGTTGGGTGATGAGGTTTTTACCAGCCTGGGGTCATTTTGGGCTGGTTTCATGGTTACAGAGGTTGAGTGCATGTGATGGACTTCCCTAAGATTTCAGATAACACATTCCCAGATCCTTGGCGTAAGGCTACCCTGTGGGTTCCTGGAGTCAAATGTTAGGTTACCTCTTGACTCCGGGACTTGAGGTGAAGACGGTATGATCCTCATCCTACCCTCACGCGGATGTTGGTATGCACGAGTAAGGTTTTGGATGTAGTTGACTTACCGAGTACAGCCCGTCAAGCCCTAGCCACTTTATACCATATCCTCAGTTGCCAACTTTCCACCGTAAGAATAAGTGATTATGATTTCTGTTTAAGATCACATTGCTAAACTATCCTCTCTCACGTGGATGTGCTCCCTTCATGTTCCGCCATGTCTGGTCCTCCTAATCATGTTAATGTTCCTGGCAAAGAGATACCTGGCTCAGATGTGGTGCAGTGCCCCTCCTCAAATCATCTGATCTGTTCCTCTCATTTTGGGGGTGTCTTCCAGATGCTTCTGGGGGATACGCCTGTGCTTCCCTCGCACCAGTCCCTCCTCCATTTCAATGTGGGATTCAAACTAATCTTGTGAGTGGAGGGAGATTACCTTATCGGAAGCTACAATTTTCTTAAATAAAAATGTATTTCTGATAGGTAATTCCCTCCACTCACACTTCCCACCCGTCATCCTCACAATCTTCCGGTGCTCGCGTCTTCTGCCAAACTTTGAAGGGAGAGTTCGGTAGTGGTGTGTAGAGGGAGTCGCATGCATCATATGATAGTAGTGCTCTCCTATTGGTGGAGAGGTGATGCATGATAATTTGCATGAGAGACGTGTTGGAACTTTGGATTCCAACAGAGGGATGATGAAGGCTTGTGGCATGCACTTATGAAAAAGTTTGCATACAGAGGGTAGCACAAAATGAGAAAACTTAATCTTGTGAGAACAGGGAAGTACCTATCGTAAATACATTTTCATTTAGGAAAATTATAACTTTCAAAGCAGCTGACATCTTTTCTTGCTATGGGATTCTTAAGTCTATTGTAACTTCTTCCACTTTGACTGGTTGGGTTAAACAGTTTTTTTAACTAATTTATTCTTCTGGGTTATAACACTTTTCATCTTTTTTATGTCTCCTCTGACCAAGTTCATCATCTCACAGCTTCTCTTGCCTCTAGTTGTCAATGTCTGCTTGATGAGATCTTGTAGGCAGGGATGTGTATGACTCCTGTCACCTTTATGTCACGTACATTTCACCACATTGTGGTTTCATCTACCTCAGGTTTTCATCTTCCCCTGGTTGCCATTCTTCATTCTTCTCAGAAATTCTAAAAAGGTAAGTTGTTAATTATTTCTTTTTTTTTGTTGTTCCCACAACCACATTATTATTTCTGTATATCTGTGTTATGGAAGAGATGGAACTCTTTCCCCCTCTTGAAATACACATCAAATAGCGGATACAGGAGAGTGTTCAGCCCATCTGTCCCTTCTCATTGCCCAGCATTGAGATTGTATGTTCTGCAAAACTGTTTTAACAGATTATATATATTTTACTTTCCAGGCTATATTTCACACCTAGCTAGTGTTTGCTATCCCTATTTACAGTAACTCATTGCACAGTATATCAGTGGGAGACATTATTCAATATAATTACAGTGGTATGAGCCTGAGTGAATACACCCTTCCATTTGAAGTCGGGTTGGGGTACTTAGAAGTGTAGTACAATTCACCCTTTACACTGTTAAACAGAACATTTCTGGTGGTTATGTCAATCAGATGAGTTTTATGTTCCTCTCTGGATGCAGTTCTATGATGAGTTCTTTCTGCACCTGCTTATTCTAGTAATTATTTCACATAATTTAGACTTATAGCCTCCATTTTTCTTGTTTTACTGAGATATAAAACAGAAAGCCAAACCTACTATCCAAATCATCTTGTTATATCCCACCTTTCAAAAAATCTCAATAATTCTCACTGACATTTGCTATTGAATTATTTACAAACCAAGAGAAAGAGAAAATTTTAATTTTCTGAATTTCTTATAAGGCTAGCTTGTTTTGTTGAATTATTCAGCATACAGTTTCATTCTTTGCTACCACCAATGACCTTGATTAGCCAACAGAATTGTTTTAACTTGTTTATAGCTTAATTAGAAAGCCAGTTAAATTATAATTTTTATAGAACATTGCATTCTTTATAGTTTTAAATGTTTTCTGTTCTAAAGTGCATATTTGAAATGAATAAATATTTAGAAAAGTACTTACAACAACCCTACCAAAAAGTAGGGTGATCTTTTATTGATATTTCAAGAGCAAAAATAAAAAAGAGAAAACCTACAAATATGTTCTAAGTTTCTTGTTTTTTTATGTATATTTTTGTGATAAAAGTAAATAAGATGTAAAAATTAGACATTTATTGTTTTTTTATTGTAATAGAAGTACATAAAATGTAAAAATTAGAATCTTATTAGGTGAGATAAGAAAACTTAATTGGAACAACAAAATGAATAAAACATTTCTTTGTGTGTTAGTTGTGTGAGCTGCTCCTGCACGATGTAATTTATTACTTTGTTTACCATAACTTGCTCTATGTCAGGTAAAGAAAATGTTAACATTTCTCCCCTATAAATGTTATTTGGAATAATTATTGATGTATGCAGGTTTGGATTTTGGTTATACCACAGTTTAATATTTTTTGTGTGTATTTGGGCTGTAAATCAGATTTCTCTTTGCCTTTGTACTCTGTGGATGAGTGCAGGAAAGCCTCTTATCTCAGCATCCGATAAGAGTAAAAGAAAATCTGTAAGCTAGCTAGTAAGTATCAAGACATACACAATTACTGTGAATTAAGAATTGTTTATTTGTTCATTTGTGTGTTGTTGTTTTTTTACTACTGCCTGAGTTCAAAATTATTCTCTGCAGTACATTTACTGAATGCATTTGGCAAATACTTTTGAACTTACCTGTTGAACATCAGTGTATCTAAATATCACATGAACAGTTTTTCACATTGGACCATAGAAAGTTGTGCTGTTTGTATACAAGTCTGAGAGCAGTCCTTAGGTCATGTGTTTATAAATATTAGAAGTTTACTGTGATGCTTAGTTGTGCATTTTAAGTAAGTTTTCATAGATTTTTAGAACATATTGTGCTTTATGTACTAATAACAATTTAATGTAAGCTATTTTTCATTGTGTTAGATTTACTGAAAAAAATGAATGAATGTACAAGTTCCAATAACAATAACAAAGACTGTCAAGCTGAAACCCATGGAAGTCCTTCACTCAAGAGACGGAAAGCTTCAAACTCAAGGGTTTCAGAAGAGAATCACAAAGAGGAAACTAAAGTAGAATATACTAAAGAACAAGTAGAAGCAGTTCAAAGGTTTGTTTGATACTTGAACACATCAGAAAAATTGCTGTTAATTTCATGTTTGAATTATTTCAGTCTTTCTTTTTACTTTTATTGGAAATACTGCTTGTATCATGGGTTTGTTTTTCTATTATTCAATGAAGTTGGAAGATTTGTCTAGTTTTGAGACTAATTAATCCTACAACGTATTTCTTTAATTACTGATGTTTTTATTGAATTAACCCACCATTACTATTAATGACTTCTATAAATGTGTAGTATTCTCAGGTGAAGTGAATTGCCTTAAAAGTAAATGAGTAGATTTGTCAGAAAATATTTTGTTGGAGTAAATCTGAGTTCTCTGACTTTTGATTGAGTATTTACATAGAAAGAGAATGAACACAGAAAGAAACAAGTGTAATAGTCTTTATTTGATACACAAAACAATCAAAATGAGTGGATTTATCAAGGATGGTACCTTTACTGATGCTTCCAGAGACCTCTATGAGAATAATAATAACCTTTTGAACTGTGTAGAGAAATATGTTCCAGTCTGAGGAAGCATTTTATACATGGACTGTAATGATATTCTTTCCAAGGGTGTATGCAGCACTTACTTCACTGTTGGTTATCGAAAATAAAGGAGGTTGTTACCTTGAGATGTCACCTGACCTGCCAATGGAATATATATCTCTGTCTACTGCTACATGTAGTGTTTAACTTTAAAAGAGATCTTTCCCGCAAGAAGGCACATATGATATTCTAAGTGAATGACCCAGTTCAGTAGGTAATTAGAGTGAATGGAACTTACCAATGTCCATGACCAGTGTTCTGTAGTTAAAACTACATACTCTTTTATGTAGAAAAATAATGTGGAACAAGTAGGTATAAAACGTGCTGTATTCCTGCATACTACAAGCGAAGAATAAGATGACAACAGGCTTTCTGACTAGTTTGATAGTTTCAAAGAAACGTTTTATTATAAAGTTTCTGTAATGTTGCATACTTTCTTTTGAATAAAGAAAATTAAATCATTAAAAACCTTTCTGTGGTTATTTTTAGTAGTTATATTCTACTATATCAATTTCTGTGGACATAAATATACTACTACAAATAGTTTCTAATAACAAGAAAACCTTGGTAAAATATGATTGGTTTCCCATTCAAGCTTTCTGAAAATTTTCAACATTTCTTTCTTTTATCAATGTTTTGATTAATTGAACTAAGATTATATTTTTAGGACTTTATTTAAACATTTGGAGATAAATAAATGTTAAAAACTTTATTCCTGTAAGTGATCAGAAATAGGAACATTGAAACTTTTCATAGCCATTCTGATGTTTCACATAATTTTTATATCAAGATTGTATGAGAAAAATATATTTGGTTGTATAAATTGGTGTGCATTAGTAATTTATGACTTATATTTAAATACATAGTTTTTTTTCAAAAATTCTAGTTGCTAAGAGTATTTTGATTTTAGTTTGCATACGTTTGACTAGATGCAATAGACTGATACTTATAAAGTTTATGATGGTACAGTGTGTATGTGTGTGTGTATATCATTTCTATTAAATGTAATACTGTATATAACTGATACATAGTGTAACTAACATTTAAATTGAAAGTGAATTGTACCAACCTTTAACTTTTTTTAATTTTTAGGAATTAAACATTATATATACACACACACACATACGTACATATACAAGAGGAAAATAAGCA